AGCCGGGCAGAGGCGGTGCTGAGGGCCAGGGTTTGGGGGTGGGATGGCAGGGGTAGGGGAACGGTTGGGCTTGATGACCTTAAAGGGCCTTTCCAACCTAAACGATTCCGTGATTCTGTGATTGAGATTCCCTTGAGCCATCTCCTCTCCAGGCTGAGCAGCCCCAGCTCTCAGCCTCTTCCTGTAAGAGAGATGCTCCAGTCCCTTCTTCATCTTTGTGGGTTCTTTTGCTGGAGTCACTCCAGTAAGCCCATGTCTCTCTTGTCTTGGGGAGCCCAGCACTGGACCCAGAACCCCAGCTGTGCCTCACCAGTGCTGAGCAGAGGGGCAGGCCCCCATCCCTGGACCTGCTGGCCACGCTCTGCCTGGTGCAGCCCAGGAGGCTGGTGGCCAACCTCACCACAAGGGTGCATCATCTGAAACCCTGTGTCGTGATTACGTTTGGGAACATCATCACATTACAATAACCCCTTTCCTAACCCAAAGTATTTTCCAAGACCACAACCTTTAAAAACTCATTCAACTAGTTACCTCATCTATATGACTATTCATACAATCATCATGTGCTTAAATCATTGAAATCTTAGAATATTACCCATTAGGGTTTTCTTTTCATGATCCTCATGTGAACGATTTCAGTGATAGAGTTCATATCTGGGGAATCAAATTGTATGTATTTGCCGATTTCATAATTTATTTCTTGTATTCATGTTGCATTCTCGCGTGTTTCATAACATTTTGTCATGAGGAATTGAAATATTGAATTTAGGAGTCGTTTATGAGCGCGCATTCGAACACATGGCTGTTGTTGCTAATTTACTATTTGTCTGTCAATCCGCTCTTTAAAGGCAGAATAGTAAGTAATTTTGTATGAAGCCATTCAAAAGCAGATCATTTTGAACATTAGCTAAAATGATGGTAACTATGATTTGTAACATTAAGGAACCAAAGTGATATTGAGCAATCCCAGTTCTCGACAACTCTGTGTCCACTTTGCCATGGACAAATCCTATGTGACTAGGACAATCGTCATGGTCACCATCTTCACCTGTGGGTCAGCTCCTTCAGCAGCCAGATTATACATGTCGATACAAGAAATGACACATAAACAAGAAAGGGCAATCTCAGCAAAAAAGCTAAGGGCACAGACACTTGCTGAAAAGGTAACCTAGGAAAAAAACCCAAACTGCAGCAATGGGAGGGCACTGTGTTGTGGACAGACATCAGCCTCTGTGGCTGTTTTTTCTTATTCTTCATCCCAACTCTAAGCTATTCCAGAAAAACTCTTTGACCCTTTATGTTTGTAACTTTTTCCAAAAATAGTCAGACCAAATAGGGCAGTCCATATTTTTTTCACTAAGCCTGGCATGGCTCAATCGCTTCCTTTCCAAAAACAGCCAAGCTCACACTGCAATGTAGATCCAGGAGAATTTGGACCCAGGGCTGCCTTCACGTGCAGAGACAGCTAACCAAAAAATAAATGAACTTGTCTGCTCTGTTTCAAACCTGATCTCTGCCTGGAAGCAGGCGAAGGTTTCCCAAAGCAACCACCAGAATGCACTGTGAGGATGTGCCTGCCCTTGAAATATGTATAAAAATATATTAGGTCAGCTCGGCGCTGGAAAGCCTCTTGACACACTGGTAAGCACCGAGCATCCCACAGGGATTTACAGGCTTTATAAAAACTGGCGCCTATCGTTCATACTTTTACATTTTCCCACACCTTTTTTTTTTTTTTTCATACTACGCGAAGAACTTAAACGTGCGTGTTGAAAGTACTATGCCTAAAAATAGCCTTACAGATAACACCGTAAAAATATACGCTGCCACAGCTTGTGAGCAAATCGTTTGTGACTTGTACAGAGGAACCGTGTGCCGCTGCGTTGCGCACCGGCCGAGCCGCTCCAGCTGCCAGCACATGAGGAGCGCTGCTGCTAATTGCTTGGTCCTGAACCTAGCAAGGACTGACTCGAAACGCTGCGTTAGTATCAGGCAAAGTCCTTGCAAATACCACCTCCTCCCTCTTCACGCTCCAAAGTTCCCTGCTCAGAACCCCACGCATGCACGAAACACTTCCCGGCTGCAAGAGGAGCTGCTGCCAGCCTGCCGGTCAGCGGAAAATACAAGCGGACATTTCTCCTGCTATTGCTCCCGAAGTGAAAGGACAAGGTCATTGGCTTTCTCTCACCTATGTGCTGTCCATACATGTGATAGTAGAAGCTAAAACAGTAGGCTGTGTTCGTAGCTCCGTAAGGATTTTTTGGAGCGACACTGAAAACAGGACTAACAAGCCTGGCCTTTTCTCCTTCCAGCCTGGGGCGCGACGTCTCAATGTACATGTAGAAACCTAGGGAAAGTCCAAATGGAAATCGTTAGGTCGCAGACTTCAAAATCCAACACATGTACATACAGGCAGACAGCAGGGCTTTCCAGCAACTTGATTTGCATTCATCGGACATCACCATGGTTTCTGGGACATATTTCTTCTGCATAAAGCCCATGTGTTTTCCACAGCTGCTTCAAAGACATGTTTTCTACCAAGAGTAAAATCAGGGCTAGCAGGTCAGTACTCGTAAACAACTTCAAATCGATGTAACGTTGTATATGCACGAGAAAAGGAAAAAAAAAAAAAATCTTCACGATGGGGTTCAGACTTCAGCCTCAAGGTTGCAATTTGTTCCTCTAAGCAGTGAGTGGGGAGGACTTTTAAAATACAGGGAAAATACCTTGATGGAAACCTTTCAAGGAACATTTTCCACTGGCCATGTCAATCACATGTTTGAAAACTCACGTTCACAAAAGAAGACAATACTCTTTTATTCTGATCCTGGACTGGGCCAACAACAGTGGCAGTATTTACTTAATCCAACCAAGCAAATGCAATGCAGTATGGGTTTTGTTTTTTTTTTTCCCCTTTGGTAGTGTAAGCTTAGGGCGTACAATAAGGTAGCGTGAGTTACTGCAGTACTTGATAAATTCAGCACAATATGCCTGACTTTTCAAATGCAAATCTACACCGCAGTCAAGATGGCACGCTTCTGTGAAGCGGGGTAGCAGATTGAAAATTGCACATTGCAGCAGCACCCGAAGTAAAAATGGGGCAAAAAAAATCCCTCATTGTGACAGTCTGAGAGAGTCCAAGTTAGAATTTAAATGACATAAACCAGAAGAATATTTCAAGATGTGCCAGAATGGCTCCCCACTAGACTGTAACGAGAAAGCAATCGCTTTGAAAATGGCACGATAGAAACAATACAAGATGGTTAATGGCACCGTTAGTGGGTTGTGCTTTGGGACCAGCCGCACGCCTCGGCACCGGCAAGTTCTTTTAGAAGTCCTTGAAGTGCGCTTATTCGTGGTATGATTAGGAAAAACCATGTAGCTGGCTGAACTGGCTGTCCTGGACAGGTCCCTCAGCCCAAGGGAGCAGCAGAGCACCCGGTGCCGGGGGGCCAGGCACGCCGCTGGAGCTTACCTTCCTTGGAGCCAGTCCGATCTGCATTCGGCCCCGTGTTCGGGGTATACTTTGTGTCTCTAGTGGCAGTGCTTTGTTTTGTCCAGTCAAAATTGTCCGTGTCGTCTTGAGTGAAAAGGCAAATGTTTCCATCCTCAAACCCGCAGTGGAACTCTCCTGCCAATGCAGCAAATGAGCAGAAATTTAGTGGCTGAAACTATTCATCCTATGCTTGCTTGTCAAAGTACTTGTCAAGTATAACATGCACGTTGTGGGATGGTGCTTTTTAACAGCACTGGGAAATAGGGGCACATTTATTTTACATCAGTTTCTAGTGTTTAGTGTACGTTTTCTTTTGCAGTAACTGCAATGAAGAAAAAAATCACGGTCATCGATCTGTACTGGTGTTACGGGAAATTATATTCAAATCTTATCGTATCACTCCTCCTCGCGTATTCACATGTATACAGTTGCCCTTAGAGATGTCATCTCTTCGTACCCAGCTAGCATTTCTAAAAAGCTGAGAACGGGCAGCATGTCCATAAAAAATGAACTATGGGAAAAAGAAGTGAGAAGTGGGTTATTTCGGTTTAGGGATAAGGACATCAGGGTAAGAGGGCAGCAGCTTTTCAAAATGAAAACATTATCTCCAAGTGACATCTCCTAAACTGTTCTTGGTTTTTAATAGGGATGGGAAAGCAAGTAATGGCTAAAATGAGAGCAAAGGAGCTTTAGGGTAGGACATGAAGAAAATCTCTAAAAATCAGGACAGTGAAGCACGTGAATGGATTGGTCTGGAAGAGCACTGAGTCCCTGTCGCTGGATTATAATAACCAATTAGACAAATAGCTGGGAGGAAGGTTTAGGTCTACCTGAACCTGGATGGGCAGGACAGGTGACTGTATCATGTCCTGAAGACATCTCCTAGACTTTCACGAAGATTTCTGTTATGTACCTGAGGTCGAGTGGCAAAAGCTTAGGTCTAAAGAATAAAACTGCCAAGAACCCCAGACAGGAATACTGGGGTACTCTCCTTTGCGAAACACAGGCCCATGAGACACACCAGTCCAGTGAACCTACCTGCTGGGTTATGATGGGATGAGAAAGTCCTACTGTCAGGCAGGTAGGAACCAAAACCAAATCAAATCTCCAAGGTTCAGTTTTTATCTCAGAACAGAATAAGGCCCCATGGAGTAAAATGTGAGAAAGCTTAATTTTATGCACATGAACGGTTCCCACTGAGTTTACTCTTCCAGCAAAGTCAATCGATTTATCTGAGAAAACAAGCAAATCCCTCTTCTCTAGGGAGAACGCAGCTGTCTGCGTTCTGTGTCAGCTACGGCCTCCTTTATAGGGGTGCAATTTATATTCATTGTTATGAGGAACTCTAAAACCAGGCATCATGGGATTATTAATCTGTGTTAAATTGGGAAGGTATATAAACGTTTGCAGGTTTGGGTTTTTGATGAACTATAAATCTACTTAAGCCACTGGAGCTTCACTGTAAATCAGTGAAGACAGAGTGACCTGGAGCTTAGCTTGGATATGTACTGATAAGCAAGGATGCTGCTCTGCAACTTATTTAAAATCAGATAACGCTGCAGACTGAACAAGCAGGCTTGAAAAATTCATTCCAAACCACCAGGTGCATTAGGAGCGCTTCCCAAGTCTTCCTCATTCTGTTTCTGCCCATCCAAAGAGGAACACAAACCGTACCCCCTCCACAATACTCACCAGAAAACACCACTCTATACCCCCAGGCTATCACAAAAATGCAGTGCATAGGAACTTCCTTGGCTGTCAGTACCTCAAGCAGATTGACTTGATTTCTCAGTAAACCCATCAACGTTATGAGAACCTTCAAGAGCATTAATTGCCTAAATCACAGTTCCTTAACTGGTGAACATGACTGATAACCATTGGGATGATGGGGAGCCAATTTCAGGACCTTGCGGCTCAGTTTGATTCTGGAAGCAAGGTCTTCTGAATTCTGAATGTTGAAGAAGTGGCAATACAGAAAATCATTCAACAAAGGCACACCACCACGAGCATTGCAGAGAAGGAATACAAGTAGGGGCCTGGCTGTGGTTCTTCCTGAGGGACGAGCAAATCAAAGAACGAGGCCACAAGGAAACACATGCACAGATTACATCCAAAATCCTTCGACAGAGAAGAATGTGAATAGATGCAGATGGACACCTCCATCCTTATCCTGAAGACCAGGAAGATAACACCAGACCCTGACAAAGTTCTTGAAAGACACAAGGACTCGAATGAAGTGCTCTGAGCAAAATGCCAGCTGGGCCTCTCATCTCCACGAATACCTTTTACATGACTTGACCTCCAAATTTGCTTGGTTTGCACATATTCTATGCATTTGTCTTTCACCTCCACTTATGCAAGCCTTTCCTATAGCAAAACCAGTGCTGCTTCTACACAGTATGATAAAATTAAAGGCCAAAACAGTAACTAAAGGAGAAAAGTTCTGAGTACCAGATCCAGTCCTGCAGCGAAGTGAATTAACACAAAGCATTTTCAGCCATTCAGCAATTTCTAACACTGCTCCTCCAGTACCTTAAGAGCTGCATTTGCATGTCGCACCATGCCCTCAGCGCTTCATTAAGAAATTCCACATCAGCAGAACAAAAGATTTTTCTTCAAGTTAAAAAAAAATAAAAAAATATTCAGGCCAGATGAAAAAAGGTTAAGTAAAAGTTTGCCATTTATTTAATAGGAAAACACTGGCTTCATGTGGGACTCTGCCATTTGGAATACACTGGAAAAGGTTACTGCTAAATATTCTTGGCACTAAACACTTCTTAAAAAATGACAGAAGAGTAAAAATGGGAAATAGTACCCCAGGATAAGCTCAGTATTTTTCTTATGCAAGAAGTAGGAGGACTTCAATAGATCTGGGTGGTCCTGACCCGTTCATTCATGGGGTGCAGGAGGAACAGCCGGCTCTTCCAAGCACCCATGGGTGCTCCAGCTCACGCCACCGCTCAGACCACTACGGTTTGCTGAAAGCACTAACAATGGTGCCAATTACTATTAAAGACAGTGGTCAATTTTTGCCAAAGCACATGCCAGCTCTGGAAGAGGATTCAGGTTATTAACACTTTCATTGCCAATGAGGGCAAAATTTGAAACTGTTCTCAAGGTGAAACGCTCTTCATTGTAGTACAATTTTTTGTCATCTATTTCCATAAAATCCAAGTTGAATATGACTCTCTACCACCTAATCTCTTCCATAATCCAGGGGTAACATCTAGTTGCACCAATGGATATGAAATCCTTGTGGTTTACATGAAATGGTTTATATTATATGTTAGAAAATAAAATGTAGATCTGAGGCTACATCTCACTGTTTAAGTCCTTTGGTGCTACTTGCGTATGTGTTGCAGGCATCTCATAAAAAGGAAGGCCTTATGCAATGTGGTTATTCCAGAATTGAAGCAAGAAGAACATGACTTCAGTTTCCAATCTAGATGTCTTGTGCCAGTTGAATACAGCTCCTACTCTTCACTCACAATGGTGTCAATGAAATCAGAGTTCAGCCCAACAGGTTTAGAAAAAAACAGAACTTGGTTGATGTTATGTAGTATACATCATCAGCCGTGCTGTATTTTCAGTGAAATAAAATGAGACTGTAGAAAGAACAGATAATGATGAGATTGAATTTGTGTCCTGGTTTCGGCTGGGATAGAGCTAATTTTCTTCACAGTAGCTAGCACAGTGCTGTGGTTTGGATTTAGTACCAGAAGAATGTTGATAACACACGGATGTTTTCAGCTGTTGCCAAGTAGTGCTCAGACTACTCAAGGACTTTTTGAGCTTCTCCTGCTCGGCCAGGTGCATAACAAGCTGGGAGGGAGCACAGCTAGGACAGCGAACCCCAACTGACCAAAGGGCTATTCCAGACCATGGAACGTCATGCTCGGGGGGGTTAGTTGGTCGGTCGGTTGCGGGGAGAGTGCTCACTGCTTGGGGAGTGATGGCTGCTCGGGACGGGCTGGGCATCGGTCAGCGGGTGGTGAGCAATTGCATTGTGCATCATTTGTTTTATATATATTCTGTATATTCTCTTACCATTATTATTATTGCTATTGCTATTCTTCTCTCTTATTAAACTGTCTCTATCTCAACCCACGGGTCTTACTTTTTTTTTCTTTTCTCCTATTCTCTCCCCCATCCCACAGAGGGAGAGGGGGGAGTGAGCGAGCGGTGGTGCTGAGTTGCCAGCCGGGTTAAACCACGACAATTTGTTATAGAAGGCAGAATCTCTCTTCCCCAGCTTACTGGTTTGAACCCATCTGCAGACCAAGATTTCTTCCCTGTCAAAGGATTTCACTCAAAAAGTCTTTGGGGGAAAAAAATAAAAGCAGAATTTTACCATCTGTCTGCTCATCTGAAAAAAATTGCAGTGGGTACCCTACAGTTCTGGTAGGCAAGCTTTCCCATCACCCCCAGTGCAGAGAGAGGCAGACCTAGACCGAAGATGAAGGTTGCCAGAGGTGCCCGTCCTCCCTCGAGCTAACGCCGTCCCTACCGCGGGGGCAACGCGGACGCCACCCGTGCCGCACCACGCACCTACTACCGCCACTGCTTTTAACTGAGCTACAGAGACATTCTGAAAATGAGACACTTTCAGATCTTACCATCATAGAGGACTTCAGCGTGAAGCGCTTGGGATTGCAATGCATTTTTTTCTTAACATCACAGAGTATATATTTAATATATTAATTAGCAAGGGTCTAATCTACTGCTCATTTAAGTCAATGGGAGTGGTTCCTTCAGCTCCCGTGAGCTTTAAACTAAGCCCTGATTAATTATTAATGCATTGCACAAGTTCTTCTGCAAATAAGTTTAAAATTTACAGAAAGGCTCAGCCATCGTGAGTGGGAGATGGAGAGGGAGGCTGCTCGCATAGCCCCGTGCTGCTTTTCTGCTCGATTAGGGCAGCACTACAGCAGTAATAGCGGCAGAGAGAACCCCCTTCCCTTTACTTTGTGCCTACGTTGTTAAAAGCAAGAGAAATGGCAGAATATGTTCCCACAGCGAAACGTTCACTCGCTGCGGTGTGGAAGAAAATCATGAAGTAGGTAGGTGTGGGGACTGCCAGGAACAGCGTGGGTTTACTGGGACAAGCTAAAGCTCCAGCCCAGTCTCCCCCGCCTGCAACATTTGTAGGGATTTGGTTCCCATGGAGAAGCGTAAGAAGAAATTGTAAGCGAAGTCCTTTCTCCCCTGCAACATCCCCGTGCCCGAGCACCGGCACATTAGCGAATACGGAGCCAGAGTTTGCATTTTCAATCATGCCTGTGGAGCTGTCTCCTGTGAATTTGTCTAAACACTTTCACACCCTACTGAGGCTTTTGGTCTCCACATTTCTCTGTGCAAATGAGGTCCCTGATTCCTGTACGCACTGCATGAAAAAAACGTCCTTTTCGTTTGAAAGCTGCAGACGAGCTTCTGACTACCCTTGGAAGCATCAAAACAACTGAAGGACTGCAAATGTAGTTCTTATGCAAGGGTAAATTTATTCAGAAAATTTCATAAACTGACTTCCCCTCCAGGATTTTTCCCATACCTGTTGAGGCGCAGACACAGCTCCTACACAGTACTTGAACTTCCAGCTATTTCGTTTATCGGTATTTAGCTACTCCCATGACTAAACCACAGCATCACCCACACACGCTGAGCTGCAACGCCCACAAATGGGTGCTATTTCAGAACATCAGTTTTTCCCTTTGGATGAACAGTTTGGGCAGTGGGAAAGAGAGATGAGCTGGAACTATGATTTTTCCTTTCTCCATCTACTCTTGCTTTAGCGCCTCAGCAGAACAAGAGGAACAGGAACGACGACGCCAGCCCAGCTTGCACACAAAACTAAGGCGGTCCCTGCAATCCACGGGCTGCAAGCGAAATGCTTATCATTTACTTTTGAACTGTAAGGGACAACGGGCGCAGGGACAATTCTTCAGACACATAGAAGCTAAAAAGTTAAACAAATACTTACGTAGATGTGGATTTACTGGAGCTGGAAGACAGAATAAAAATAAAATTAGCACAAAGAGAAAATTCTAATCCATCAATATTCAGATTATCCTACATTTCCCATTGTTCCCTCCCCCTCAAGATCTTGATCATGGCTCCTACACTGAGATGGCCGGCAAAACTCCTAACTGCCTTTTTGAGCAAATTTTGTGGCTCCCTGGCAATCCAAAGGCAACGATTCCAGACAGCCTCTCCCATCTGTGATGTGTACGCTCCATCACTAATACCCGCAGTTTGGGGAACAAGATGCTGTAATTAAGCATCAAACCTGGATTATTGGCGGAGATATTGTAAGGATGGGGGCAGCTGCACAGCAGAACACCAGGGTGACACCTTTGAACAGGAATCCAATAAAAACCACAGAGAGGACGGATTTGTCAAAAGCAGAGGTTCTGCGTTGGCCCTTGCTTATCACTTAAAATTTCCTTTTAGCATTGCTCAAGAATACTTAACATAATGAATTACCCTTCTACTCCATGAATAATACTGTTCTTCAATTCAAGATGCCTGTGTACATACGAGTCTCAAGAAACAGACAGCAGTTGCGTTCTTCTTAGAAATGCTAATTTTCCTTTAAATAGCAGAAAACGTAAGCACAGCAAGTTTGTGAGAAGAGGTTTGATCTCTTTAGACCAAGAGTCACAACCAAGAAAAAACATGAGAGTCTTCTGGCAGACAAAACCCTCTTCTAGGGAGGATATACTTGAAAGAACTTTAAGAAGACAACGAAGGAAGGTGGCATGTGCTGTCCTAAAAAGCTGCTGGCAGTGCCAGCACAGCCTGTGCCTGCTGGAGGAGCCACATTCGGCGACCAGGACATGGACCCACCAGTGCGGCTGGGTCCTAGGTGCTGCTCTCAGAGACAGAGGAGCAGCCATCAAGCATCCCACCTCTCTGCATCCCACCTTTCCATATCCCACCTCTGCCCACTCCCCAGCCCACGGCAGGAGCAGCCCATGCTGACCCCTCACCTTGGGAGGCATCAAAAATAACTTTGTCAGCATTGCAGAGAAGGCTTGAGATAACTTTGCTGAAAAATGTTACTTCTGTTTGTTCTTTTATGGGCCTGTGCAACATCCCGCATGACACGGCAGGGCTGTTGGGTACTGGGAATCTTTGGGGAAGCTGATAAAACTGGCACTTGTACTTAGAATCACAGAATCATAGAATCATTTAGGTTGGAAAAGACCTTTAAGATCCTCAAGTCCAACCATTTACCTAACACTGCCATCCCACCACTAAACCTTGTCCCTACTTCACAGACCATGGCAAAATTACAAACCCCTCTACATCCATAGTTCTTTAATATTGAAGTTCATCTGCTGAATACCTTAAGAGGCTGAAACAGAATGAAAGCCAAACGTCAACAGTGCCTATGGATATCTCAGCCATGGGAATGGCGACCCAGGTTTAGGTCCAGAGTAACCTGGTCAATGCTAAACACAGGCAATAGGGTTTGAATGAGAAATTAAGTCTGCAGTGCTGTGCTACGTGTTTGCAGAAGGGTAAACATGGGGCTGGATGACTTAAGAAACTGGGCCCTTCTGCTACAAGCCCTTACGCAACTGAGAAACGGAAGGATCCTAAGCTCACAGGTGGAATTGCATGTTATTAACGGAAAACCTGAAATAAAATTTTATCTCCAAATAATGGGTGCATCTGGTAACGCCAGGCTTCTGTATGAGTGTTATTCGATGTTTTCTTGCTGCCCTTCCCATGCCACGTTTACAGACACGAACTCTTGGTTTGTGACCCCAGCCACGGATCCTGCGTAGCTCTGGATTCAATCCAAAGTTTTCAAAACAGCTCTAAATTAGCAACTCTGCCATTTTATCTTGCCTTCTCTGAAACAAATGAACAGTGATTTGCCCCAATGCAGTCTTCTTAAGAAACTTAGTCATTACATTATATTAGATAATCTCATAGCTTTTACCAACAAATTATCTTTCATTCTCCGAGAAACATTCATTTTGTGAAATCCTTGAGTGACTGAACTTGGAATTAGCTGAAATTGCTGGGAACTACATTTACTGATGCTTGATTTGTAACTAAATGTACGGGCTTTTATGGAAACTATCATCAGCATGTAACCTTGAGTCATGCTATTCAGCTTGCTCACAGCAGAGCAAAGAAGGCTTCTTGCCAAGCTAGTTTCGGTTCACACTGATTGACAAAAGCCGAAAAACAAATTAAAGGAAAAGACCTTTAAGATCCTCAAGTCCAACCATTTACCTAACACTGCCATCCCACCACTAAACCTTGTCCCTACTTCACAGACCATGGCAAAATTACAAACCCCTCTACATCCATAGTTCTTTAATATTGAAGTTCATCTGCTGAATACCTTAAGAGGCTGAAACAGAATGAAAGCCAAACGTCAACAGTGCCTATGGATATCTCAGCCATGGGAATGGCGACCCAGGTTTAGGTCCAGAGTAACCTGGTCAATGCTAAACACAGGCAATAGGGTTTGAATGAGAAATTAAGTCTGCAGTGCTGTGCTACGTGTTTGCAGAAGGGTAAACATGGGGCTGGATGACTTAAGAAACTGGGCCCTTCTGCTACAAGCCCTTACGCAACTGAGAAACGGAAGGATCCTAAGCTCACAGGTGGAATTGCATGTTATTAACGGAAAACCTGAAATAAAATTTTATCTCCAAATAATGGGTGCATCTGGTAACGCCAGGCTTCTGTATGAGTGTTATTCGATGTTTTCTTGCTGCCCTTCCCATGCCACGTTTACAGACACGAACTCTTGGTTTGTGACCCCAGCCACGGATCCTGCGTAGCTCTGGATTCAATCCAAAGTTTTCAAAACAGCTCTAAATTAGCAACTCTGCCATTTTATCTTGCCTTCTCTGAAACAAATGAACAGTGATTTGCCCCAATGCAGTCTTCTTAAGAAACTTAGTCATTACATTATATTAGATAATCTCATAGCTTTTACCAACAAATTATCTTTCATTCTCTGAGAAACATTCATTTTGTGAAATCCTTGAGTGACTGAACTTGGAATTAGCTGAAATTGCTGGGAACTACATTTACTGATGCTTGATTTGTAACTAAATGTACGGGCTTTTATGGAAACTATCATCAGCATGTAACCTTGAGTCATGCTATTCAGCTTGCTCACAGCAGAGCAAAGAAGGCTTCTTGCCAAGCTAGTTTCGGTTCACACTGATTGACAAAAGCCGAAAAACAAATTAAAGCCGTTACGCTGAACTTATCTAACATCATAAACTAGGGGAAAAAAACCCACCCCAACCAAAAAAAAAACAAACCAGAAAGCCCAAGTAATAGAGCACGCAGCTACAGGGCAAGTTGCAAAGGTCTGGCTCTCACCACGGAAAGGGAAGGTTGCTGCGGGTACGACACGCAGGTAGCAAGTTAAATTAGCCATAGAGGGAAATTATTGGGTGAGCGAGGGATTAAATTCCCAAGGCTGATTTTGAAATATCTGGAAAATCTGTGCACCTCAGAGGGTTATCGCTGCTCTGCTCACCTGACCCTGGCTCGTGCTGGGAAGAAGGTTTTGCTGGTAGAGAATCTCGGGGGGAGAACAAAGCGTCATGAAATGTTTGAGCTTGGTTAGAGCCAAGAGGGATGATCCCTTAATCTTCCTGCCGCTCCGCCAGCAAGCAGAGAATAAAACCTGCTGGAGTTTCAGTTTCTCAGACGGTTTTACTTTACAGCGAGCTGTATTTGTGCAGGTCACGGCAGAAAAATCATAGAATCATAGAATCATAGAATGTTTAGGGTTGGAAGGGACCACTAGTGGTCATCTAGTCCAACCCCCCTGCAGTGAGCAGGGACACTGCTAACTAGATCAGATTGCTCACAGCCCCATCCAACCTGGCCTTGAATGTTCCCAGGGATGGGGCCTCCACTACCTCTCTGGGCAACCTGTTCCAGTGTTTTACCACCCTCATTGTAAAAAATTTCTTCCTTACCTCTAGCCTGAGCCTACCCTGTTCTAGTTTAAAACCCTTTCCCCTTGTCCTAACACAGCTGGCCCTACTAAAAAGACGTTCCCCATCTTTCCTATAGGCCCCCTTTAGGTACTGGAAGGCCGTAATCAGGTCTCCCCACAGCCTTCTTTTCTCCAGACTGAACAAGCCCAACTCTCTCAGCCTGGCCTCATAGGAGAGGGGCTCCAGCCCCCGGATCATTTTTGT